CCGATTGGGACACATATGGAACGAATAGGCTGTATCCAAAATCAACTCATCATCAAGTTTGGATTCCATGTCAAAAATTGTCAAAACATATCTATCACTCAAATAGTTTTCAACTATGTTGGTCTTGTCTGAAATATTTGATTTTTTCCCATGATTTGCGATCAAATTACCTTTGTTCTGTAATTTGTTGTAATCCTTCTTCATGTGTCATTTCTTCTTGCAAAAATAACAAACTTGATTACTAAAATTTGACATCGAATTATCCCTTCTCCGATCACCATGAACAACAAGGCATTCTCCATCTCCAGCGTCATATCCAACTAGATGCTTCATCTTCTCTTTTGAAAATACTGTATCATATGCATCTTCAATGGTGAGAGTATCAAGACTATACAAGATCGTGTCTCTAAATGAAGTAGGCAATGAACACAAAAGGATTAAGGCCAAATCTTCTTCATCATACTTTACCTCTAAAGTATCCAAATCAGTGACGATCTTCTTGACCACTACCAGATGATCTTCCAAAGATTTGCCTTCTACCATGCGATGAAAATACAACATCTGCTTCAGATGCAATTTACTTATCAAACTTTTAGTCATACACAATAGCTCCAACTTCAACCACAACCCAGTAGTCGTTTTCTCCTATAAACCTCCTGAAGAATATTGTTAGAAAGATGAATATGGATATGTGAAAGTGCATTTCGATCTTTTCGTTGTTTATCCTCTATCGTGGGCATTTTGTCAAATCCCAACAACGCATCATCTAAATCCATCTGCGCAAGTACATCTCACATCTTTACTTATCATAACAAGAATCTTCTATTGCAATCCGAGAGCGGATTTTTATACTTCATGGCTACCATCAATAATAAAAACCTCAAACAAATCACAATCAATAGCTCTAATACCACTTGTTGGGAAATAAAACGGACCGATGTAATATATATAACACGATATGAAGTATAAGATCTCAAACAAGTAACAAGATAAAATGCAAATAATTAATTGGTAGATGAATGAAGTATTTTATTCAATTGACTAATATGGATAAAATGAATATTACAATTCTGCCATAATATTATTCTATATTTCATTAATACAAAACTTGTGAAAATAGTCTAATATTTATAAGGGTGCATGCTAAATCCTGAAAATACCAAAGAAAAAAATAAAAAATAAAAAAAATCACGTGGAATAAAGAAAATAATATTTTCCTAATAAAAACACATGGAAAGAAGGAAAAAATATTTTCTCAAAAATAAAACCTAATTTAGGTTAAAAAAACCCAACTAAATGATGCTCAAGTGAGTGAGAAATTTAAGTTCAATGTGTACCATTGTGATTGGTTTCGGTGTTGAGGGAAAGCAAAATTTTAGCTTGTGAAACAAATGAAAAATGATAAAGGAATGACTAATTTATATATGACCATATTTTATGAAAGTTTATAATGTGTAAAGTAAAGGTTATCTCCACGTGCGCGTGCAGAGAGTGCAAAACACAAATTGGACTAGCATATCATCGATGTAGAAACTTGGTGCTCAGTTTATATGAGATTTTTCACTATATCCTAAGGGACAAACACTTAATTTCCTATTTGTTCTTACAAAAGTAGCCGAGACTGGTCTTCGATATTTTCTTGCCAGGCAAGATTTAAAAATTATAAAGTTTGATTACTCTGATGATGTTTTTCCCTTTCCCTTCCCTTTTGATTAAGCTGTGGAGTTCTTTTCTAAGTTGGGTACAGCTGTGTTCTATTATTTGCTTATAAAGTCAAAGAAGATTGGGTAAGGAATCGGAGTTTTTCTCTCTCTATGTTTACTTGATATAAAGTTTTGCTTGCACTTTCTTAATAGAAAGGTTGGTCACCAAATTTCAGCTGGCTTGACATCATCTTTATTAGTATGTTTGCTATCTTATTCGTATCGTGTCTATAAAACTCCAAATTTTCAACAAAATTATGCAACATTAAATCGAGCCGTATATTTTGTTACCCATTATTTGTGGGGTAATTAAGGTTGTAAAAGACGTAAGAAGTAAATGTCAAGTCTCAGGTTTCAAGACTTACGAGTCTAGACTTACCAATATAAAGTCTATGCATAATAAGATGTTTTTATATTTTTAATATCATTTTAATTATTATAGATCAATATTTTAAAAAAATAATGCATACCTGAAAATTTATAACAACTTCATACAAAATTTTTAGAGTTTGCAACAAACACACAATTCTCAAAATCATAAATATACCAATTTAATAAATACATTATTCGTAAACAGAGAAAGCTACGTTCCTGCGTTAGATTTAAGTTGGGGTGGATTTTTTGTTTAAGTTTCAATAATTATTAAACATTTTGTTGGGCTGAACTTCAAAACAAGAAAATACTATTTTCCAAACCAAAGGTGCACGCCTTCTCTGTCTGTGCGCTTTAGATGATCAATGTAGAGTTGATAGTCTTTTCTCCCGTTTAGTCATGGGGCCTAGAGGTGTCAATCCGGGTGGTCCGGGTCGGGTCGGCCCGCCAACATGTGAGCCCGGTACCAGCCCGCGTGAAAAAAAGCCCGCCCGCTGTGGGTTCCGGGCCGGTTACTGGTCGGCCCCCAATTTTGGACTACAACCCAGGCCCG